CCTGTGGTGTTGGGGATCGAACCCTGGTCCCTATGCTTGCCGAAGCAGGCACTTAGTCAGCTGAGCTATCTCACCGGCCCTTATTTACTCATATTATAGTAAATAACATTACAAATAATCATCTACCACACAGTTATTAGTATGTTATATTTCAATTCAGTAAACAGACCAAGCATATTTGACTTCAGTGGAGGACCATTAAAATTCTGGCTCTAAAATAACACAAACAATTCTCAAATTTTGAAATTTATAGTATATTTGAGTCTCTCTCTCTCTCTATATATATATGTAATAGATACATGGTGAGGGAGAATACAAATATTAATATTATAAAAATCTTAAAATTTATAACACTTGGTAAACTTCAAGAGTGTATGGACTTGCTTTGTTTGTATTCTTTCCACTTAAATATTTCACCTAGCATTACAGTATTTTTGGTGCAGTTCTTTTCTCTTGCTTCTGGACTTCGGAGCTCTGGCCACAGCTCAGTGGTGAACCGAGCCATCTGTGTACACTCTGGATTGGTTTTGTGGGCCCTCTTCAGCCTTCTGCACAAAAGTTACACCAGCAGAGGCCTCTCCCAGCCACTGCATATGAAGTATCATGTTCCTCTCCTCTCAAAGAGAATTTCATTTTTCCTCATTGAACATTTCATTTTTGTCATGGATGTTGATACATGGTGTCAACTTGAGAAGTCTACAAGCTTAATTTACTACTTCAGCCAGTGCTATATATTGGAAATGTAGAGAACACGCCCTTACTGCTCTGGGAAGTCGTTCATTGCGTCAACTTGAGTTTCGAAGGTTGACTCAGCGACTCACAAGGGGGCAAGGGACCTCACTCTGCAAACATCCTCACCCTGTGCACAGAGACGGTGTGAGTGCTACACTCGCCCTGGAGGTGGGTAGACTGTTTACAACATGAGGGAGGGAAAGAGCTTGTTCTCCCTTTGCTTTTGCTGCTCTTGCTGTCTTCTGCAGCCTTCACTGTTGGTCCTGTGCGACGCCACCCTGCCTTGGAGCCAGCTGGTTATGGATTGAAACTTCCACAAATTGTGAGCTAAGTAAACCTTTCCTCTATAACTCGGGGTGTTAGGTGTTTTGTCACAGCAACAAGTGGAAAGTTACCAAGACAATTCCATTGAACATCTACTTAGTAGCTTACCAGTTTATCTTTTATCCTGAACCACTTGACTATAAGTTCCTAGAGATCAGAGATTGTGTCTTTTTAGTTTCTGCTAAGAACCTTGAGCTTCAGACCATGCCAGCACTCAAGATGCGTGCAGGACTAAGGAAGGAATCTGTAACATGATCATGAACAGAAATATCAAAAATTGCCGAGTCAACTGTGGAACAAAAGCCAGTAGTGGGGACAGCAGCAGCATCGCTGGCCAGGGCCCCTGTATCAGAAATGGCATCTGCCCTGTGATCGGCTCAAGGGGAAGGAATAAATGTGGTCTCTGAAATTGTCTTCTTAAATTCCATTGAATTTAATGCCAATAGATCTTCCTGGAAGCCATTCTACTCTTCGCAAAATTGACCTTCCTGCTGTGAATCAGGCACTGAAACCTCGTTTCTGATTTCTCCTTGATGCCAGTGGCTGACAACCCCAGACGTTGCAGTGGTTTCCAGTGACAGAGGGAGAGGGACTGGCTAGGAGGGTTGGGTGTGTCCAGGGCAGCAGGGAGGACAGAGTCTGCAGGGGCTGCAGGGGCTGCAGGGGGTTGTTCCCTGTAGCATAGCAGCACATCCTGCACTAAAGAAGCACTGTAGAGGAATCCTGCCATTTTTTTTTTTTCTGTTCTCCTTCCTGGTACTTCATTGAACCAACATAAAATAAATTGTTCTCAAACTTCAACATTTGGGTCTGCTTTTTAGTACTTATGGTTACTTCCTAAGACAGTTCCTCATTGTAAAAAAACAGCTTTAGATTTTAGTCCATGCGTCTTTTTCTGAACTGAAAAATATCTCTACCAGGTCAGAGACTTTTCTTGTCTATGCAAAAAGGAAGGAAGTAATTTTTTAATTCTTTTCTTTTTTTTTTTTTGCCTTTCAAATATGCATGAAGAACAATGCAAATAAAATCCTCTGTACTGTAAAATTACTATGCAGATGCAATCTTATTCTTAAATTAAAATGAGTTGGCTGTCAAGTCATAGTGAATACTGAAATACTTTCTTCTCAAGCAGATCTCTGTGAGTCCTCCAATAGAATTGATGCTCCAAATAATGTATTTTCACCAAAATATTTCTCCAAACTGGACTTATGGTAAATTATCTATAATTGTTTATGGCCCTGATTGGGATTTTTATGTTTAACATTACATGAACTTTGCCCTGAAATGCATTTCTGGAATATGGATCTCAAGAACATTAACATTCTAAATTGTCCATTTCTAAATCCTAAAATATTATCCTCAAGATGCATACATGTAGAGGAAGATATTTATAAAATACCTTCAGCTATTCTAAATGATGAGCGAGAACACCTTTCAGAAAATCTCTATGAATATTTGTTCATCACAAAATTAATTTATAAATGCAACATAACTACCTTTATTGTTCACAGCAAAAGTCCCATTATTC